TTGTGCATGTCCTTTCAGAATTAAAGAAATTATCAGTGGTTTTGCAAACATCTGGATCGAGTGAAATTTTAGCTTATGAGAAGCCTACCAGTGAGTAGTTCACTTGAGAGAGAAGAGGGTCTTAATAGTGGATTTTATGGTTCACGGGTCATGCATCTTGACTCAAACGAGTCTTGCTTAGTAAATAGATCGAGTTAGTTTCAAATCATCCGACACAATTCGTAACATATTAAATTATAATTGACGAGTACTCATTAAAAATAAATGGTGAAAACAGACTCATATAACTGATCTTAAATGATTGAGATATAAAATTTAGTTTGATTTAATTAAGTACTCATTACAAACTCAGAATGAGAACATTTTCTCATCAGGAAGTGGGAAGAAGTAGTTGGGGAACATAAACTGGGTCTGATAAGGATAGTTCTCATCCTCAAACTTGTGCTTGGCCATATACAAAATCTTGATGCTTTTGTCCTCACTTTCTTATTAGACCCCCAGCCGACATTTTGCTAGTACGCAATGCTGGCCATGGTGGACCTCACCCCATTAAAGCACCTACCAAGCAGAGAAGAACATGCAGATGAATCCAGTTCTTCTGAACAGTGTGTGAAGAAGAAAATGGTTGTGTCTGTGCCAAGGGTGCTGTTATATGCAACATAAGTAGGAAGTGCAGGGGATTCGGATTCGGATTCATATCAGAATATCTGTCAAACAATTAACAAAAGATGACAAGAAATAAACAATTACAAATAGTCACCTAAAAAACTTGGTCAGTAAAAATCAAGCTCTGCTACAAGCTAAAAGAATCTCCAGACAATAATGTGCAAACCAATAAACATGGAAAATTCCCCAATTTTCTCACTTGATTTGATAAATGGATTTCGAAATGGGTTTACATCTGGAGAGGAAACTCGCATCAAAGCTTCAGGAGGATATGAAACTGAGAGTTTCAGAACATTTGAAACTTCCCTTTGTCAAAGCTTCAAAGCAATTCACATAAAGAAATTAAGGAGTGTCTTCATCATTCTTAAAAACCATTTGAAATCTTATTATTATTATGTGATATTTTGGGTACCGTACCATTATTATGAATTTTGTGGTTTATTTTTAATAATTTTTGAGAGACATTTATAAATTTTAAAGGTCATTTAGATGTTTTGACGATGATTCACAAGATTTGAGGATCATTTACGACTTGGGGGGGTCATTTTGTAACTTGAGGTAACTTAGGATTGATCCTAAACAACCCTCAAAAGTTGTACCTTGAACTATAAAAGCCGGTTGGCCAAAAAAAAAAAAAACAATAAAAGTCGTAGTATGACCTCAAAAGTTTAAAAAAAAAAAAAATTGATCGTAAATAAATCTAAAAACTTGTATATTAACCTACAAAACTTATAAAATTTAACTATTATTTTTTTTTGTTCGCTCGGTATCCTAGTCTTCTACAAATCATCATGGAGGTTGAAAAAGGTATAATAACACTTCCATAGGATTTACACCTCATTTAGACCACCCCCCATCTGCATAGAACTACTTTTTGAAGATTGGCCCTACTTCATAAATTAATTATGCACCCTTCATTTTCCATCAATTCTTCTGCCACAGCAGTGCCCCCAGTACAGTTGGGTTGATGAGTGAGTGGTTGATCCCCACCTAGACATGAAGGTCGGAGAGGTGGTTAGGGAAACAGGATCTGGGAATGATGGGGACAACACGGAGATCTGCTACACAAATTCGGGCCATTTTTGGTTGGATGCAAATCTTAATGTGTTTGTTTTAATTCCCAGCTTTCTTTCAGCCCAAACTGCCCGGTGCGTCAAGAGACGTATGGTGACACGTTTGTACCATGTTATTTTAGATTTAGATACCTTCGGGGACTCTTTACCTACATCTTTCTTCTTATCATATCATCCATAGATAGAGAGAATCTTCCTCCGTCATGTTCATGCTAATGAAAAATCACTAACAATTCATACAATACTAAGTCAAGAGATAAATAATAGAATATATGTTTTCTTCTTACAAAGACCAATTAAATAGATGATTCGTGTCTAACACTCATCCGATCCTATTTATTATTCATGAGATTTATCGACCATGTCATTTTCAGGCCCGTGTTTTGTTCTGAGTTGAGATGTAAAATTGAAACCCCCAATGCTAGTTATAATAAACATGATGGACCTCAACCTCATTACAGCAGATGCTTGGCAGAGAAGCGGCCCCAGCAAGGGTTTATTGGCAAATAGGTTCGTTAGCAAATAGTTAAACAGTCCCAGAGTGTATTTACAGGGTTATATCAGTTATAAACACCAAGAGTAGAAAGTGCAGGCGTCTCAAGTTCTACAGTGTTCATATTTTTGGCAGTTTTTCCATAATGAGGATGGAACAAATCCCCTATAAACCCCTGCCAAGCGATTGAATTGAATGAAACCCAGCTCGAAAAGCAACCCAACAGAGGAGTGGAGTCATCACCTTGACCCCAAAATTTAGTTTTAATTCAAACCCCTCCTAAACACGATGCCTTAAAAGCCTTTAAGAGAATCCAACTAAAACGATTTGGAGAGATTTTCTTGCAGTTAGGGCTTTCTTTATTTGTAGATAAGTCACGATCGACCACCTTGACTTTTCATTAATGTGATGAAAAGATTATAGAAGGTGAACAAGAAATCCACCGATGCAAAAACAAAAAGGAAATTAAAAAGGTGATACATACTAAAATCATACACTATAATTCTCTAACTACATTCTGCGATCCAGTCTATAGTAAGGGAAAAAATGACACAACCTTAAATTCTTTAGATGCCACCGCCCCAAGGGAGGCTATGAACTTTACTTTGTCCCATAAAAACTCGGCATATTCTTCCTTCCCTTGAGAAATTCTTCTATTCATTTCCAACCATACCACTCAACTTGTCACTATAACCACACATTCCCACAATATGAAAGCTCTACATCCCTTTACAAAAATACCGTGATTGATCTCAAATAAAGAAATCCAATCTTACTCAACTTTATGCCACAATTTCAAAACCACGGGACAATGGATTAAAAGGTGTCCACACTTTTATAAATCCTACACAAAATGTACCATGGAGGATAAAGACAAGTATTCGGTCTTCTCCTTTACAATAAGTCACAAGTATTGATCTTATCGCAAGTCATAGTCCAAGCAAACAGCTGCACCTTGATCCTCCAAATCACCCAATGGAGTTCAAATATTGAAGTAGATGGGTCATCAACTAGCACATGGAAATAAGATTTGCACAAAAAAAAAACACTAGTGGGATCAATGGCCCAAAATCTTTTGTCATCCAGTTCCAGATAAATTAGGACTGGTCTAATCAAGGGAAACAATAAGGACCGCTTCCCTATCATTCAAAGCTCTAAAGACATTGAAATCCCACCCCCCTTGAAAAGATGCATTATACATGCTAGCAATGAAAGCCTCTTGGTTTCGGGATAATCTAACCAGACGAGGATACAATGAAGCAAAAGTAGAATCCCCCAACCATTTATCTTCCCAAAAATGAATTCTCTCCATTCCCCAATGCAACCTCACATATTTCAAGGAATTATTGGTACCCTTTGAAAAGGAGAGACACGAGCCTCGATATTCTGGAACTGAATAATTTCCAAGTACTACTTTTGCATTCATCAACAAAAGGACACTGATTCCTAAGGTTCTGTAGCTGACAATATTCTCTAACTACATATGGTCATCACCGGCCTTGTACTGGGGTATTAAAAGTAAGATGCAAGTTACATGAAACAGTGAGAATTGGACCTCAGAAAACAAGAAAATTACTGATTGACATTTAAATAAATAGAGTCTATCCTCACATGCGAAAAGACTGTTTCCACTACTCGAACCCGTGATGCTTAGGTCACAACGAAGCAACCTAACCAATATGCTAAAGCCCGCTCCTTTCCTGCAGGCTGCAAGGATATATATAATGTGCTAGCTAACTGCAACAACTAATACCTAATTCTTACAATCACCATTGTGTTTACATGATGCGTTGAAACCCATTCCACTGTGTCATGGTAAATAGGATCAAATGCATGTTAAAGACCAAGATCCATTATCTTCAGAACATGAAAACCACTGCTTACTACATGAAATGTTGCATATCTGCATAGCAGTGCTATTCTTCAATAGCAAAGGTAAGATAGATATCTCATAAAAAGATACATCATATCACAATATCATATCATGTATGCGTTTGGCCAACCATTAAAAGATTTCATTACCTGATTTCCTAGTGTCAACACAGCATATTGTTAAATTCAAAGATTACAGTCAACATGAAAAATATATATGCCAGAAAATTAGACGCTCATTTGTCGTAAATATTTTGTGTGGGCTACATCTTTTTGTAGCCAATTTAAAGTTAATCTCTCAACTGAGAGGCTAGCTAAAAATGAATTATCAAACACATCAAGAGAAAATTCACTTTCCATAGAAAACAAAAAAGAATAGGCCCACCGAGTAATCTACCAACGATAGCAATGTACAGATAAATAACACTTGGCCTTTGGCAATAAGGAAGCACTTAAAGATCACCATACTGAAACCAAAAAAAATTGAGATACATAACCACTTTCCTAGAGTAGGTTGCTGCCATTACACAGAGGCAGAAACTTCAGCATTATAGGAAACCACACACATACTACCATATTTGAAAGTTAATAAATCCACTTCAAAACTAAAAATCCATCACTCTTCATCATATGGGAAAACGGAGTTCACATATTTTTATTCTTTTCTTTCATAATATCGTTAATGGAATTCACATGTTATATAGTGTTGTCATTATTCACTCCATTATCAGGTGCATCTCAAATATAACATACAATATCAAGATCTGCATGAAAATTCGAGATCCCAACAACTTGTTGAGATGGGAGAAACTTCAGAAATGACTGAAGGATGAGATACAGATACAAATTAAAAGAGAAGGTAAACTAGTCTCTTCAACCTGATGATAAGGTAGCATCTAAAACAACATCGAAGAAGCACCGACCCTATCACGAGGAATCAGGCGTAGTTCCGAACCATGTTTTAGGAAGACGTTGCCTGAGACAATAAAACAAAATTATCTGAAGGTAGGACTTAGTATTGTACACAATTTAACCAAACTATAGTCCTGCACATCACATAATGATTCATGTACAATCAACCAAATTTTTGTAAGCAGCAACAAGGAAATTGCAGTATGACATGCTGAAATCGACATATTACGGATGTTAGGTTCCTATAGTAAGTGACACAAATAAAATTTGAAAGCCATGTGGAAATTTTGGCTCTAAACATAATCTTTCTAGACATGGAGAAAGCATGAGCAAAAAAAAAAATCAAGAGTTTTAGTTAGAAAACTGAAAACCCAATCAAGCAAAGAGACTTGGATAGAAATGGCTAAGTGATATCCTGGATGTAATTCACAAAAGTGACAGGTGAACACCCATGGTTCAAGGTCGTGTTATTGGTGCACCAAATAAAACCACTAGAGACCCACCTTCTCAAGAGAACACCCAACCACTTTTAGCAACAACCTGACCCAAGACATAAAAGTTTGATAAACAAAGACATCAACGAGGCAAAGATATATCCAGTGGGTGTTGGATTAGAAGGCAAATGATATTCTCTTCCCTCACCTATCTCTTATAGCACCTTTTAGTAATCACCCAATTCCGAGAAGTGATTGATCATGGGATTTTGTCCCCACACAGGTTTAAACACAAAGCCACCTTGAAGGGACAAGTAAACACCGAGGCCTATGGGTCAAGATACAGAAAACATTCTTAAATTTTTCCCTCATCTTTCAAGTTCAACACCCATTGTGAAATTATTGAGTCCCGACAAGTGATACATATTTAGATTTTGATCCCACCAAGCTGCACACACAAAGGAAGTTGCCTTGTTGAAAACAAGAAACACCGAGGCATATCGTGTTTAGTAGGAAAACCTGAACAATTTTGTTTTATTTTATTTTGATAGGAAACAAATCTTTCAGTTCATAGAAAGAGACAAAATTACATCAGGATAAGAAATCCTCCAAGAAAAAAAAAACTAAAGCAAAAAATCTGAATAATTTTATCCCATTAAAGCTTCATTTCAAATGAGCTTAAATCTCCAATAATGCACCACTTTGAACGAACCATCTTTTGGGACACCGGACCATCCCTTCAACTCAAGATTTCCTTGTTATTTGCTTGCTGAGTACTTGTGATGGCAAATAAATCCAAAACAAATTAAATAAACTAAGACTATAAGGATAGGAACATTTTCGGACAAGGTACTACTACTAAAAAATAACCGGTTCACGAGACTTCTGTTATTGCGGGATGTTAAATATATGCAGCCTTACCCTACATGCAGAGTTTTCGCAACTTGAACCCGTAACCTCCAGGTCCTACTACTCAAAAGTCAAAATTGAAAATCTAACTTCCCTACTGACTGTTCGCATGAGTGTTCCCAAATCACTTTATTTTACTGAATCGACCAGGGGAACAGATTGAATGGTAATTGCAGATAAAAGGGTATGCAGCAAAATAATTGGCAATTTTAGAGGCATTCATTAGCAATGAAGCGAACCACAAAAATGAATAATTCCAAATCACCATTAGTGCATCAACATACAATACGTTCATAATAACTTACAATTTGGCAAAAAAATAAAAAGGTAAAAAAGTTAAACTACCTGCACTTTGCTGAGGATTGATTCCAACACCATCTGCATATGAAACAAATCAATAAAATAATACATGTAAAAATATCTATCTATATATACATAAACATGTATATGGAAAGAGGGGGGAGATGAGGGTACCGTTGGTGATGATAGCGCTGGTCTGGGGAGGGACTTTGAATTCTTCGGCGGTGAATTTGAGAACAGCAGTAAAAGGGGCTCCCTCTGGAACGCTGAACCTGAAAATTTCACAGAATTCAAAACGAAACTAATCGACAATCAGAGATCAAATTGGTAAGACGATTGGGTAAACAACTCAAAAAATGTTAAGAGGTAACATTACACTTTGAAGGGCAGCTTGGGATCGGAGGTGAGAGTGACCTTGAACGACACCTTTCCACCATCACCACTCGCCATTTGAGTTCTCTAGGGCTTTTTCCGATTCCGTCACTGTACAGACAGATGGGTGTATACGGAGGGAGGGGTGCGTTGAGACGCATATAATGCGAGCTGGGTCCAGGAACCAGAATACTATGGGTGGGATGAGATCCCGTGTTTTGGGCAAATTACACTTTTAGGTCATTAGGGGTGTCCATGGCCGGGTCGGACTAGGCTCTTGAAATTTTTTTGGGTTAAATTTAGATAGTGTTGGTCCAAATTCGTATTCAAGTGGGCTGGGTAGGATTTTGGACAAGGGTAAACTACCCGCAGTCTAACTCGTGAGCTTATTTGACAGGCATGTTAGCGGACTTTTTTATATATAATTTTATTTAAAAATAATGAATATTTTAGTAAATTAATATTTATGTAAATTATATTTTTGAATAAAAAATATAGTCAAAATGGATAAAAATAAAATAATGAATAATTTTATTTTTGACTAGAAGATAAACTATATCTAATAGAATAAATATAGCTCAACTAAGTTGACACATATTCACTTATTTATTATTTGCTTTACTCTACTATTTAAAGTTTGTATGTTTAATACATGGAAAAGAAAATAATACATTATTTATAGTATCTAAATTTTTAAAATTTCAAATTTCGACATTAGGCAACTTATTTCAAAGTTTTAAATTTAATGGTTTAAAAGTATAATTTTTTTTTCAAATAAAGGATGGGCAGATTCTTGTGCCGGGTTTTAACGAATTTTTTTAGGCAGACTATTGGGCCAGGTAATGAGTTTGGGGATAAACCTAAACCCTCTTTTTAAGGATATTGGGTTCGGGCTCGAGTGGGCCAACTATCCGGGTTATTGGGTTTCAGACCTATTTTTTTTTGCCGAATAACGGGACTCGTGGGTAACCCGTCCATGGACACCCCTATAGGTTATCCTCGCCGAGACTAAAGTAAGAGCTAATATAATTTAAATTCAAAATGTCTAAATTTACAATTCTTCCTTATTAATAAAAAATTAATTCATCTTACTCACGAACAATGTAACTTTATTTATTTCACTTTGCTCTGATATTAATATTTTTGTCACTATGATAAAGTACATTTACATTTGAAATAGGTAAAGGATGATGTGTTAATACTTTGAAGGATAAAGTGACATCTTGTCCATAATTGAGAGCGTCAAAGTTAAATTTATTCACTGTTAAAAAAAATGTTAGAAGAGATTTGAATCGACTCTCATTAACTAAAAAATTTATCCAATTTCATCACGGGTTATACGATGCTATTTCATATGTTCTACATATGCAACACTAGTTAAGTAAGGTCGTGATATCGAAATGGGTTTATAATTTATTTATTTCAAACACTAAAGACTAATCCCATTCATCAAAAAACAATGAGGCTTGAATCAAAAAAATAATCAATCTTAACCCTTAATTTCATGTTGAATTTGTATCGCATTAATATACTCCATCCCAGATTATAGACCCCAATTTGGTATGCCCGTCAGAGGCCAGATACATTGATTTGTCGGGTTCTAGTCTTCCTACTTTAACTGTTTCAGAAGCTAACAACAATTAATTAACTTTAACCTTTGCCAATCAAAAGGGCAAAAAAGTGTCAAAAGAAGGAAATAAATGGGAATTCATACCATCAATTTTAAGCTATTATTTGGCATATTTTTAGATTGTGGATGTGCCATAGTCTGGATCGACTTAAAATCTAAACACGTATGACTTTATCCATTTGAATCAATACGGGATGTTAAAATCATGACTGTTCAAGCGAATATAGCGAAACGGAAACTTACCTTTAAGTTTTTTTATATGCCTTGGAGCTTCAATGCATTCGTGACTGTTCAAATGAATGTAGCAAAACGTAAGGTTATCTCTGGGTGCTTTGAGGTTCAAAAACTTTAAATAGTTTTACCAAATAAAAATGTATGGAGGATTGCAAGATTGCAAATTAACAAGTAACTTAAATTCGAATCTAAAGGACGAGATGAACTCAGAACATATTATTAAACGAAAGCAGTAAAAGATCACCAGAATGTTTTATAGGAAAAATAAAATTGGTTAGAAACAAGAAATAAGTAAAAAAAGATAGACTGACTTTGTGAAGAGTGTTTTTGTGATTAATCGTGAGATCCTTTTTCAATGGCTTAACTTCTGTTATTTATAGAGATGACTTTTAACCATCAATCCATCTTTTCAGCCATTACTTGCAATCATGACCTTGTTCTTTGAAATACATGAACGTGTACTAAATAATTTTTGATTGACGGATCATAATATCTCATTTCCTTATTTCTCGGGATTCTAAGAGTCCTACTCTTGATGGTTCACCCTTGAATTTTTTTCCCTACATATTCTTATTCTCAACATCTTACGAAATCATATCCATAGGAATGACATGGTAGAACTTGTCTTCTTGTTGTGTCATATTGTTTTCCATACTCAATAACTTTGAAAAAAAATAAATAGTCACAAGAACATAGCTTGTGCTTCTGTACAATATCCTACAAGCATTCCCACATGGTCTGGTTCTAGGTGGGGTCCAATTTTTTTCCCAGTTTCTTTCAGTCCTTCTCACTCTGTTGTGATGGCATCTCCAATTTTTATTTGAAGTGGTTGATGATACAACTGACATATGATTATGACTCAATTAGATTATTGCTCACTACAGTTCATCCAGTCGGGGTAACAAATAAGAGTTGCGATATAATAATAATAACATTATTTTTGGTAGTTAATCCGATATTTAATTGTCATTAGTGTTGTTAGCATAAAGACATGTTTACCTCTAACTCATAGTTATGTTTTATTTTGCAGATTACATGTTCGTTGTCACTATTGAATAGACATTTCATGTATTACATTTCTGTCTTTATGGATGAAATGAAAAGTACTAAATATTTTTGTTACTATTGAACGGAACATTTGATAGATTATATTTTTTTCTTCATGAATGTAATGAAAAGTGTACATTTTCTACTAATAGATTGTAGGAAGTTTAGTTGTTAGTTTTTGAAATTTAGAGTTGGATATAATTTTTTTTTTATGTCAGATGTGTGATTGTGCTTGTAGTAGTATAGTGGTTTGATGAATATAATTTTCGTTAAAAAAATAAAAAATAGGTTTTTCACCAGGGAACTTGTGTCCTCGGGGAAATGAGACTATCTCTAAGGAAAATATTCTTAGTAATTCTGTGTTCCCTATTATATTCCAAGTCTTTTTACCAAGGAATTAGAGCAATTAGCGACAAAACGTCTTAAGAATCTCTCACAATATATTTCAAATTAAACGATTTTTTTTTGCATGATCGACAGACCCATTTGGATGAGGAAAACAATGGACCCAAACAACAAATTATTGATAAAATCAGGGAAACAAACAACCTATATGAGGTATCAAATGAACATTGCCAACATAATATTGTGGACCAAAGAGACACTCATGGGGCAAACTCATCATCCTCCTCACGATCCATCAATTCCCAAGTTCCATCATCCTGTTGAACCATACCCTTGTTCTTCTCACACCACCACGAAGCGGGCACGCCGTATTCGTTCTTGACAGCATCTATACGTTTGTTAACAAGTGCAATACTGCGATTCACTGCCAATTTGAATCCTCCTTTAGTCCCTTGAGTTCCTGCAACTCCATGCAAGTAAGCCTCCAAGTCATGCCAATTTGCCAGATTTCCGGGATTCTTCAGGTACGGTGACTCAGTAGTGTCAATAGCCAATTCTTCTCCAACGTCCGAGTAGCAGATGAAAGGGTAGTTTGGAACAATATCTAGGGTATTGCGGACTCGCAAGACTCTAAGATTTTGTAGTCCAGAGAAAGCTATCTTGAATTTCGAGTCTCCGACACGAGGGCTGGCAATTGCAAAGACTGTGACAGGAAAAGCCTTGTTCGGCTGGTCACCGGGGCTGTTAATGCCGTTCACAACAATGTCAACTGCATTTAGCGTCGCAATCGCTGCTCCTAAGCTGTGGCCGGTAACAGTTATGCTGATTTCCTCATCCTTGTATTGTTCCACCAGCCTCTTTACCTCTCCAAGAACCTAAAAAATAGCATCATGAACTGATATCTTTAGCCTTGTTTGTTTCTCCTTAATTACTAGTGCAAAGGAGACAAAGTTTTGGTAATTCAGAAAATAATTAACCTGGCTATATGCCAAGGCCTCTAATGTTCCTCATAGGTTTTGTCCTTAATATATCATAGTTCAACACTAAGCTGATTACTATGTATATATAGCAGTCTGTGCCTTGTGTTTCCTGTCTATACATAGGTGCTTTCTAGGCCTGGAAATTCTGCATAAGACACATGAATCCGACAGGGAGATAGCATATTTGAGTTTATTGCCGGTTTGGGTGTGCACACGACACACGAGTTTACTAGACCCTCGAAATATACAAGTCAACACAAACTCGAGACCAAGACTAAATACAATACAAACCCTGAATATACTAGATTATAAATGGAAAGGTTGTGAGTTGAGCAAATTTTGTACGACATGATCCATAAACAGCTACTTCTGAACGCAGTGATTTAGGATTTTGCAAGTATGGGCCTAAGGCATATAATTCTCCCAAACTTGAGACTACCAGTGTTAGATGTGTTTTTGTTTCAACTGGTGGTGCCAACTACTTTTGCAGGGGCACTCCGAACTCGTTTCTTATTCATAAAACTGGCTTTCAATCAATGGAAGTTATTTACTAAAAAAAAAATAAAAAAAACTCACCTGTTCTCTGGCACTGGTCGTGTTGAATGGTGATCTGGGATCATCTGAAGTGTAGACGGAATACCAACCTAGATGCACCTTAGGATCACTGTTCTCTCCGAAAATTTTCGGAGCCGAGACTAGTACAAATTCAAAGTCATCAACCCATTCCAATGTCTGAATTGATCCTCTCCAAGCAATCACAATATCTCTCCTCCCCAATGCAGCCTTGCCTTCATCAGTTGCCACAGCAACGTACCCCATCCAATTTGATTCCTTGTTCCATGCCTCCCGCGATAAACACTTAAAGATAAATGCATCAGGGACAGGAAGTGATGAAGTTGCATAGAAATACTTGGTCACACTATACTTAAATGGATTGCCATTCTCCAGACCCACCTTAGAGAATAGATCTTTTTTTGCGTATCGGCTGCTTCCAGCATTCTTTGATACCTTCTCACAATTAAAGGTATCAACAGTTGCTTCGGCCAATTCTCCATAGTGGATTATGTATCGTCGTAGATCGATGTCTAGAGGGTTCAATAAACCCTCCCAGTTATTTTCGCCGCTCAGAAGCCTCCATCTCTCGGCTATTCCATTTCCATCCTGTTTCTCTATGCTCTCCATCTTGTTCTTCTTGTTCTTTCTTCTGATCCAACAGTTCATCATTTTATTCAAAGTACCAAAGAGCTTTAGAAATATTTTCTTTTTATTATTTCTATACCAGTACCACCTGCCATTTCTTAGTTTATCATAAAAAGTTTCTTCTGATACAACATTTTTCAACTTCCACGCTTTGCAAAACGAGCTTTAAAAATCTGTTCTTTATTTTTTTCTTATATTTTCTTAGTTGACTGTTACACGTTCAGAGATTCGATACTCTTTTATAATATCCTTATAGTTTCACAAGGTTACTTCATTTTCTATATTGGCTTTGTGTAAATTACTACACAAACTTACGGGAAGTGAAAAAGTTTTGGGATTGACTCTTTTTTCCTTTGAGTGTTTTAATTCTAAGACGAGAAGATCTCTTGTAAATTTACAACATCACCGTCCGGATCACTAACACGCGCGCATAGAGAAAGAGAGAGAGAACTCCGTAATTGATCCCAAGGTAAGTGTTTTTTGATTGGGTCAATGACATGATTCAAGATCTGGATGACTAGTTAATGCTTAATTTGGTAGCATCAGGTGAACTGTACAACCACCTCAAAGTCTCCCTCTCTATCTCTGTCTTTTTTTTTTATATATATACACATTTATCTTGAATTTTTCAAGGTTTATCATTCTAATTAGACTTTTATTTATTTTTACAACTCTAAAACTCTCGTCTCTTATATAACTCTATCTATCTATTTATCTTATACTCTCTTTCTCTTCCATATTATTATTATTTTTTGTTTCTCGTGTTGTTTTTGTTATTATTTATTCTATAAAGCATACGAAACTACATGTTATACAATTATTTATTCTATGAAACTAATTCAAAATTTTTATAGAACATTGATTATAAACACTAAATAATATTCAACACAAAATGAACATTAAATTATAAATTAATAAATAGATTTATCAAAAATTGACATTTAATTTTATCCAATTTATATTCAACTTTGTCAAATTAATTTTAATTGTTATCAAATTAATATTGAAATTCATTTTATCAATTTTTTGGGATATTAAATTATATCAATTTTTTGGGTACTAAAACAAATTTTATTTGATTTTATTAAATTTTTAATTTTGTTGGGTACTAATTTTGGAGAAGGACAATTGTAAAAATAATGAAATTTTTTGGAATGAAATTATTAATTTTCATTAGCAACATTGACTAAAGGGAGACAATGAATAACAAATCTCAAAAAGTCTCGGTGTTATTTATAAAATGTCAGGGATGTCCGTGCAATATTGTCAAAACTTAAGGATGTTTGTGATTTTTATCCTGTTTTTTAGTTAAACATTAATTTATTATTATTTTACCTTAAAAATTTAAATTATTATATTTCTAATAAAAATAATTATTGATTAGGAGGATTTGTTAGTAACCAAAAAAAAATGTGTGTGGGTGTGTTTTTTTGTATATTTATACGTGGATGATTAGACATTTGGTGATTAAATGTATAATTATATTGTGTAATTTGAGGCTGAATGATGGTAGTAATGATAAATTCATGAGTTTTATAAATTAGTAAGATTTGATTGATTTTATTTATTATTTAAAAATTGTGAATTTAATTGTGTTATGTTATTATTATTATTATTATTATTTTTGCTTGAGGTATTTATTACATAGGGATAAGGTGGATTAGAAATATGGGGATTTAGTTTCTAATTATATTGTGTTATTGAATTGAGCGGTAGAAGAGGGAATAAATTCATGGTAAATTTGTGAGTCTTATACATAAGCCATATTTTATTTATTGCTTAAAAATTGTAAATTTTAATGAGTTATTTTAGTATTTATTTATTTATTTTCAAAGGCATTTACATATGTAATGTTGTTTTGGAGAGTTTTTATATATTTTTATTATAGTTTCGTTAATATGAAAGATATGATTAGCTATATATTTCGAGTCATTTTAAAAGAAAAATTGATATAAATATTTTTAGGTCATTTGTTTTGAATTTAGACAATTACTTAAGATTTTTTTATTTGTTGTATAATATCTTCAAATATGCACAATGACTAGTGTTTTATAAGTTCTTCAGGAGTCGTATCACATGGGATACTAGCCATCTTATAATTATTCAATTATAAGAGATTGTGTTATGTATAAGCAAGCCTAAACTTATTATTTTATCTTTAATTTTTATAAATTGATTGTGAGATTAACTTTATTTGCTTGATCAAGCTAGATGCGCATACTTGATTTTTTCACATACTTTGGTTATTGTTAATTAGATTAAAGTCAATGGTGAGGATGTAAAAGAATTTCCAAACTGTGGAGAAAATCCTTCGGAGTTGATATTGCAGTTCGATTTCATGGTCACAACTATTAAGGATTTAAAAGACCCATGCCACCATGGTAAAAGTTGATGTGTTTCCTGCAAGTCCATTAAAAAAAATTAAATCAAAAATCAAAATTTGGGGTAAAAAATAACCTCCACAGACTAGTTTGAATTTGATTTAGGAGAGAGTACCAAATTACTTAATATCACAAACAATGTGTTTATCCGACAATTTCAATAGACTTGTCTAATGGTCACTAATATTTCTCTCAAAATTATTCACATTGAATTTCTCTCTCCCTTCTAAATCTATTACTTTTCACTTATGTTGAACCATGCCTTCAACATGGATTATTCCTAATACCCTCGTAATTCTCCACATCATCCCTTGTTTATGATCAAACGGTTGAAATGTCATTTACTTTGACATTCTTGAGTCGAAACACGTGTTACTTAAAAGAGTAACGTTAGCTTTATCACAAAAAAAAAAAATATCAAAAAATTTATTAAATTAACATGGATAATTGAACTAATAAAAATCATTAATATTTTTTAACGAGACCCACGACACATCATTTTTCTATTAATAATAAGTGCAACCAAAAGATACTGTCAAAAAGAATATGGTAGTTTTTGGTAACTAGTTGTTTGTGTGTGTGTTTTTTATTTTTTTCATTTTTTGCTAAAAAAAAAATAATAATAACGCGTTTGGGATATATTTTTCTTTTTTTAAGTTATATTGTTTTGAAAACAAGGTCCAAAACTATAAACATAAAAAATGATGGTCATGTTTGGTTAGCTTTCCGGAAATTATTTTTTGTTCTCAAAATTTTAAAAATACCAAAAACTTGTTTATTTAGCATTTTTGTTCTCAAAATTTTGAGAAAAAAATGAGATTTGAATCAAACAAACAGAAAACAAGTTTAACTTGTTTTCAGAGTATTCTTTGAAAATTTTAAAAACAAGAAAAACAATTTTGAACTTTAACGGGGTCTGCCATTCGAGTTTCCTTAGCAGCAAATTTCTTCATTTTTTTTTACTTCTTCCTCTCTTTCATAATATTTATTAATATTATATTATAATCTATTTTATTTTATGTTATATATTAATATTATAATCTATTATATTATTATATTATATATTATATATATATTATATATTATAATATATTAATATATAATATATATTAATAAATATTATATTGTGTGTGTATATATATATATATATATGAAATTGTCAATATAAAAATAAATTTTTTATATTTTTTTATTAATGTTTAAATTACTATTCAAATATATATTTAAGTTGTCCAAACAGATTTTATTATTTTTTGTATTGTAAAATTATTTTTAAAATTATTTAACCAAATAAATTTTTTATCTCAAAAATATCAAAACCACTTTCTTAAAATTTTTCTGAAAAATTATTTTCAGATGCTAGTTTTTTGAAACGGAAGCCAAACAGGCCCGATGTTTATGAAAACATTCAAACTTAAAAACACGCGCGCGCATCCCATTATCAATTAATGAGATTCAACTTTGAATCTCGTTAACAACAAAATAAGATTTTTTTTGTGGCAACTATAAAACCCACTTTTTCACTTTTTTTTTCCTATCTGTTTCCCTCATCTCTCTCTCTATCGCTCGTCTCTCTCGATGCCTCCTCTGAAACCCATTGTCACAAAGACTAATCTCTGCGAAGATTTCGAAGATGGACTTTTGGTGGTGGTAGGTGATGTTTCGGTGGCTGATGGTGGTCGTTGGGTGGCTGGTGGTGGTGGATGGTGATGTATTGGTGGTGGTGGGTTTTGGTGGCGGGTGATGTATCGATTGGGGTATCGGTGGGGTTTTGGTGGTGGTTGGACGGTTGGTGGTGGGTTTTGTTTGGATTTGTGTTGGTGGCTAGGTGGTAGGTTTTGTTTGGTTTTGGTGTTTGGTTTCGGTAGTGGGTTTCAATGATGGTGGTGGGTTTCAGGAATGGGGGTGAGTTTCAATGGTGGTGGTGGTGGTGTTTCGGGGTTGTAGGGGGGTTATGGCTTTTTGGGGGTGAGTTTTGGTGGTGATGGTGGGATTGGGTGGTGGTGTATTTTGGGGGTGGGCGATGAGTTTCGTAGAGGGGTTTGTGGGGGTGGGTTTCGGCGGCGATGGTGGTGAATTTCAGGGTAAGAGTTGTGGGGGGTAGGTTTCGGTGTTATTTAAAAGAGTAACGTTACTCTTATCACAAAAAAATAAATAAATAAATATATATATATATATATATATATATATATATATTATATTTATTATCAAAAAATTTATTAAATTAACATGGATAATTGAACTAATAAAAATCATTAATATTTTTTACCGAGACCCACAACACATAATTTCCCTATTTAAAAAAAAATGCAACCAAAAGATAATGTCAAAAAGAATAGTATTTTGGATAAGCAAGTGTTTGCCCATTTAAAATTGTTTTTCTCGATTCCACCTTGGCCAACATGGAGACAACAACTTGTCTGTATCAGAGGCAATAAGTTAGACAGCTTGATTGAGTATGTATATTCTCTTTACTATTTGTCCCTCAAAAATTTTAAAATTTTAATTTTTCCCTTCAAATGCTTGGTCGAGTATATGTTTCTCTTTTCTATGTGTACCTTAAAAGTTTATAATTTCCATTTCCCCCAGCTTGACTGATCAGCATATGCTTCTCTTTGCTATGTGTCCCTTAAAAATCTAAAATTTTCATTTCCCCCCCAAAAAAAAAAATTTGAAAGTTTCACCTTATACCCCCACCTTCTCTTAATTGTAGCAATTCGTCCCAATTAAAAATGACATCAGGTATTATGTCAATTGATATCGCATGTCACACATGTGATTTGAGAAACTATTTTTTTGAAGGTAAAAAGTGAAATTTTTTTTTGAGCAGTTCAATTTCATTTCATCTAACAGGATTCATTACAATTAGAAATTAAAATTTCCCTTAATTCAATTGATGTGTTGCCTACCTAATTTCTTGGAAGAGGTTGGGTTACTTTGGTTCTAGCTACCCAATGAGCTGCTTGATTGAAAGCTCGGGATATAAAGGAAAATTGCAGATTAAGTATCTGACACATACTCTGATGTCTTCCACTATAGCTTCCAGTTCCCATGGCAACTCCCCTTCATTGTACCTTAGCAGGATAACCTCTTGATTATCACTCTCCACTATTGCATTTCTCAACTGTAAGGATTGGGCCATAAGACAAGCCTCTCTTACTGCCTCTGTTTCGATTACTCGACTTGAAGTGGCTTTTTTTTTGGTATTCTTTTTGCATCTTCCTTGTGGATAAGGGTTGTGCCAAGAATTGTCATTCTTCTAATAAAATTATACCTATAAAAATAAAGAATAAAAATGATCTTTAGCTTATCAGTAATGTTATGTTTATCAAATTTTTTATCTCAAATAATGTGGTACAATCTTTCTAATTGAATATTAATGTGACCTACTTATTTAATGATAAAAATTGCGTCACATTACTTGGGAAGAAAAATTTGACAAAAAAATCTTAATCAGCATAGTATTGTTGTTTAACACCTAATCTTGGTCAGATTAGTTTACTCCTATTATGAAAATATCCTGCCTCCACCCTAGATCTATGGTTTGCTGAGCTACGCTTGCAATTTGACCGTGTGCCCTCTCTCTCTTTCTCTCTTGTTCTCTTGTGTGTGTGGGGGTGGTTTCTGTCAATTCTACATGAGGGTGGCAAAAATATAATATGACCTGTTAACAGGTAAAAAATTAAAGAGTTTAAGTCATCTTTAAGCCACCTATTTCCTAAATAAGTAGATCTGGCATGATATAATTAATAAAACGAATCGGGTATGTATGAAATCAATCAACCAAATGTACGACACGATTCTTTTATATTTCAGTTATACATAATTTATACAAAATACAAATTAGATATGACACGATTTGTTTGATACGAACAAATTAATAAATCAAGTATGAATAAAGTATTTTTTTGACACGACGAACCCACTAAAACTTGGCACAATCGACGGAATTAATTCTACAACAGTCTATCTACAAGTAATACCATTACCAGGTGGCAAAATGTGGTGGGTAGATCGATTGTGACCATCTCAAAAAGGATATTCCTTCTTGAGAAGAGAAGTATGGAATGGAATGTTCTAATCTTGCAGGAATGGATTAGGAAAGGTATTATACACTTTTGGCAGACTTCCTAAATTATAACACTGGGATGTGCTTCTATTACTCTCTCCCCACGTATTCCCCTATATTATATACCACTTCTCTAGCTATGTATGGTGTTATTGAGCACATATATAACCCTTCGTGCTGTCCCAGCTCTCAAATGCACATAGAAAGAGAGAGAGAAGATGGCAGCATATCAAGTTGTGATTCTTCCAGTTTTATTGATCTTGATTCTGATTTCATCAGGTACTAACTCTTAACAAAACTCTTTATTTTTCTAGTCAATTTAATTAGGCCTAGTTGATCATATCGTGATACTCCTAATCAATCCCTTTCTAAGGCTTAAATTGATATCTTATGTCTCTTTTAAGATGTTTTGTCATATTTATCTTTTTTCTCTCGCTCCCTTGAGCAGTTGTATCGAGCTCTTTTTTAAACTTATAATTTTTCATAAATGCATAAGTGACTTATAAAAAGTGTAACATCAAAAAGGAAAGTATTTGCCAAAACCGTCATAAAGTAGTTGGCTAAATGCTAGTACAACATAGGTCGATAAAACAAAACATTACATAGAACAGCCTCCCTCACACTCCAAACACTAGTTGGTTAATCTTAGTGTGTACCATCCTATATTCTCATCAAACTCAATTTGGATGGGCAGCCATAAAAATCTCCGAATCTGCAAGAACATTCACTATAATAAACGATTGCAAAGAGACAATATGGCCTGCTGTCACCCCCGGAGGGAATTTCAATGGTGGCGGGTTTGTTCTAAAACAAGGCCAATCTGTCGTCTACACGGCTCCGGTCGGTTGGAGCGGGCGAATATGGGGCCGAACGGGCTGCAACTTTGACAGAAACGGCAACGGAACATGCCAAACCGGTAGCTGTGGCACATCCCTCAAGTGTGGAGCCTCCGGCAAAACCCCGGCCACACTTGCAGAATTTACCCTCACAGGAACTGATTTTTACGATGTTAGTCTGGTGGATGGGTTCAATTTGCCATTAGTCGTTACACCTATTAATGGTAGGGGAAATTGTAGCATTGCTGGATGTGACGGAGATTTGAGGACCGAATGCCCAGCCGAGCTTGCCGTTAGAGCCAACGGGAAGATCATCGGATGTCGAAGTGCATGCGACGTGTTCGACACCGACGAGTACTGTTGCAGAGGGATTTATGGAAATTCGGTGACATGTCAAGCTACATATTACTCGAAAAAATTCAAGCAAGCATGCCCGGGTGCATATAGTTATGCGTATGATGATCCCACCAGCATTTTTACTTGCTCGGGGACGGACTATGTGGTCACATTTTGCTCAACAAGGTATGTTTAATTGCAACCATCCCTTTAATTACTTGAATTCATTTCACATTGCCTCAAAATTAAATGTGCTTTATGATTTGGACAAAAAATTCTTGTGTGATAAAATATATACTTTTAATGTCTAATATTTTGTTTAGTAAAATAAAAAAAATGGAAAGAGAGAAAGTTTAAGAGGTAGATAAAATATCATGTTTGGTAAAGAATGAAAATAGAAAAGATAAAAAAATGAACGAGTTAAATTTCTTTACAGTTCATCAAAATCAATCTCTCCAAAATTAAGAGAAAAAGCAGATGAAAAGTCAATTATATGTTCGAAAATATATGCTACTTACTTATATATCCTTTAATAGATGCATATTATATTTATTTATTACATATTATGTATATGTTAAATTTGTATATAAATATAATGATAAAATATGCATCTATTTTTTTATTCTTTCATTTTTTCATCTTACCAATTACCAAATACTAAAAAAAAATAAAAAAAAATTACACTTAAACTTCCTAAGGGTTGTCACTTAATCACTTAAACCTCCTAACATTTAAAATATCATAGAACCCCTGAAATTTGTATGCATATATAACACATAGACTCCAACAATCAATATCCATTTGTATATATATATCCATTAGTAAATAATATCCAAACCCTTAAAACGTTTTAAGCGTATAACACTTGGACCCTTTACTTACGTAACTAACATAATCTATTAAATAACCAAATTACTCCAATTAAAGATAGAAAATATTGTGTTCATTATAATTTGACCCCTTATTTCGTTTCTTAGTTTTATTCCAATAAACAAAATAATTGTGTGTTAATGAGTGTTGACTTGAATTCTTTGATATATTTTTATTAATTACTATTTCTTCCTCAAAAAATTAAAATTTTGTTTGGGTTTTATGTTAATGGATGATATAATAGAACAAGCAAATGTGTTGATTAGACTTATTTCATATGTTTATACTTGATGATAGAAAAATTGACCCAATGTGAAAAGTTAATTTAGTCTAAGATGCTCCAAGTACGTCACTTATATCTTTGTGTAATGCTAAGTGTAATAGTTTAAACTTGAACAGTTTAAGTATTACATGCTTCAAAATTTTAGAGGTCTGGATGTAATTTATTAATAGACATTAACGGCAGGGGTATATCTTAGGGGTCTATGTATAATTTTAAATGTTAAGGGATTTAGGTGATTAAATTATAAACTTTAAAGGATCTAAATATAATTTTTTAAAAAAATTAATCGTCATCTCTCCTACAAAACACAAAAAAGATATGATATAATTTTTTTCTTGAACGATAAAAAGTGCATTACTTTCGATTTCTATCCACCTAACCAAACACACAATAAAAGTGTGGCAATGTAAAATCGATAATTACAGTTTGAGGTGAAATGTGAAAAACACAGTAGTCGAAGAGACAACATGACGTATAGAGTATGGTTGAAGATGTAAACCGGCAGGGTCAATCCACCACTCAACATATCGGGCCTAGGCTCATGTTGAACTAACGAGCCGTCGATCTATCAGCCGCACACAACTCCACCCAAGAGATGGTTTGGGCTAGCCTATGGCCCACTGAACCACTTGGATTGTGGGCTTCTTTGGGATCACAATTCTTATTAAGTTTAATGTTTTGTTTGATGTGATGAAAAAAATAAAAAAAAAATGTTTAAAGAATAAATAAAACATCTTATTTAGTAAGGAAGAAAAATATGAAAGATCAAAAAATAGATGAATTAGTCTTCCTTTCAACTCATCAAAATCTATCTCTCTAAAATTAAGAGGAAAAAATAATTATGTGTTAAAATGTATGTTATTTACCTTCATACTCTTTAATATATGCATATATACTATTTATATATTATATATTATGTACACGTTATTGATAGATACAGTGATAAAATATGCATATACATTTTTTTTTATTATCCCACTTTTATATTCTATCAAACACAAATAAATGAATTTTCCTACTTTTTATCTCTCTAACCAAAAACAAAGGAGGAAAAAAAAAGATTATTTTAAAAGATAGAAAATGTATCATTCTCATTTTTTCGTCATTTCATCCATCATATCAAATACACCATAGGTATGCAAGATTGTGTACCAAACAAAAATGTTGATGACAAATTATTGTTTCAGGGGACAACCTGTATGCACATATCACAACAACAAACTCGTCTGCAGCGGATCAAGGGGTTTAAAATTGTCAATCGGAAGGTGGTGGACTATGATCTTCATATTGAGTGTAGCAAGTTTTTTTCCTCTTTTGTGAAAAAGTTATAGGCTTACCATTTTAATTTAAGAGCATACACAATTCCCCTGAAATATTTATTGTTTCCATTGGAAGAAGTTATCAAAATGCTTGTAACTATGAATCTGATTTTCCTTTTTAGTTGGTTTCCATAGTTCAAATCTGATGAAGTACAAGTTTCATGATATACAATTTCTCTTTCTCTCGTAAGTAAAAAAAGTTCCGTTTTTAATGAAAGGAAATTGTTTAATTGAACAAACGAATAAATTTCTAAGCAATTTTCTAAATTAAAAAGAAAAAAAGGAATATTTCTATGCAACAGTTATGATATTGTCTACATTATCAAATCCTTGGTAAACCTTCATTCACATCAAGAGTGGAGTAGAATTTTATGTTAGGTGTGTGGAGTGGAATTGGAGGCATCAAAACCTATTTTGGTTCCAAATATAAATATCTAAGAAATAAGAGGTATATTATATCCTTTACAGTGAATGGTTATAAGAATTTTGCCAACACCCTTTTTCCGATAATACCACGGTTTCATCTTGAAGGCTCCTCAAGTCTAGTGGCAAATTCAGACATGTTTGAGAATATCCCATGTTCAATTACACGTCCTGCGCCATACAAAGCACAGGTGCAAGTCCATGCTCCACGCCGTCTGGAATTAGATACAGGGATAAGGGGTGTAAGGGATCACGCTCTGAAGGGGAAAACAAAATTTAAACCCCCAGAAGATAAGGGGTGTGAAAAATTCAAGCCCCAGAAGATGTTTTTGCCATTCCTTTCCCAAAGGAAAACAGAGAAATAGTCAAAATTACCGATTAAAGAATAGATTGGATAAGCTGACACCCATTTATGAGAGTTAGTGTGTGGCATTTATGAGGTGACAAATCATGTCTTCTAGTTCTCGTCACAGAACTTCTTGATGTAGATCGTGGTAGTCATTTAAACTCTACCAGATGATATAACCAAAAAAGCACATCCATAAAAAAATTTCATTCTTTTAGGATAATGCTTGGAAAGGACATATTACTCTATCCTCATTTATGGAGCTACAAAATGGAGGACAGTCACAGACCATCATATTTGTGCTTACATTTTTGTCTGATAACCATGTGGATAGATGTCGGGGTCGAAGAACCAACTCGATTACTGTGTGCTTACAAATTGGCGAGTAAAAACGATCGTAGCATTAATCCTATCCATGTTTACATGTTCAAGAGTTCAAAAATAATAAGAACCAACCACTGTTGTTCAACCAAGACCAATACAAAGAAAACATACATTTTGAGCAGAAAAGGGAAGCCAAATCAAAAGGAATTCACACAAACTGGAGATGAAAACAGAGTCAATATATATATATATATATATATATATATATATATATATATATATATATATATATACTTTCCAAGTCACCATAGTGAACATGTAAGGTCACAAGTAAATGGAATCAATAATAATGAAAAGAAGAAAAATTATATATTGTGCAAACAATTAACCCGCACGACCAAATTTTGCAGACCAAATGCATGTAAAATAGATAAGACCAGAGAGAAACAATTGGTGAGTGAATAGCTGAGATTCATCGGCACTGTTCATTTCAACCCCCGCCCAAAACAATGCACCAAACTATCAAACACATAACTCATCATGTAGAGCAATAGGAAATGGGCACCATAGATAAATAAGCACCAATTTTCATTCTCTTTCATTAGGACAATCCCTCGCAAAATGCCCTACTTCCCCACAGTTGTAACATGCCCCAGCATTGCCACCTCCGCCACCACCACCGTATCCCCGATTCCCGCCACCACCATATCCCCATTTCCCACCACGACCGCCACCGCCATATCCTGGATTCCCACCACCACCATATCCCCAATTCTCGCCACGACTGCCACCGCCATATCCCAGATTTCCACCACCACCACCGCTTCTGTAGCAATCTCTTGCTAAGTGACCCATTCGCCCACAATTATAACACTCGACCCCCTCACCACCACCCCCATAGCCGCCACCGAACCTCCCACCTCTTGCCCGACCACCACCCCCATAATCGCCATCATACCTGCCATAATATCCCCTCCCACCACCGCCTCCACCAACGCGCATGCCGGCCCCACCCCTACCGCCACCAGAGCGATAAGATCTACCAAGACTCACCACATCAACAGCTTTACTACGCCCATCTTCGCCGGAATCAATGGTGAACTCAACCTGCTGACCCTCCCGGAGGGTCCGAAACCCTTCGGACCTAATCTCCGTCTGGTGGACAAAGAGATCATCACCACCTTCATCCTGAGCTATGAATCCAAAACCCTTTTGCCCATTGAACCACTTCACAGTCCCAGTGGACCTCTGAGCCTCAGCCATTGAAACTCAACACCAAGGAATTAAGATTCGTATAACTTCCAGAAGCTTATTTTGAGGTCAGGAGGGTCCGAAAAAGGATTGGGTCAGCGGTTAATTACCATTTTGGGAAATTAATGTGACTGTGTGTACCACGTTGTTGTATGAAGAAGATTCGGTGGCGGCGGTGGTTCTGGATCTTAGAGGGTTGAGGTGTGGAGGGTGTCTCTCAGCGAATTGGTACGCTATAGTTCAGGGGTGGACAAGGTGGAGCCATATTTGCGTAGTGATCTGACGGTTGAGAAGTTGCTGGAGGAAAGTTTTGTTTAGATCTACGGTTCAAATACGTTGGCACCTTTATCCATTTGGGTTTTTGGTCTCCAAAAATTGAGGACCATTAAAATTAAAATTAAGGGTTAATTATAAAATGCCCCTTGAAGTTAGGTCATATTCAATTAACTCTCTCTTATTTTAGTTTCAACAATTTATCCTCTCAAAGTTTGAATATTTGTAAATTAAGTTAAGTCGTTAATTTCAACAAATTATCCCCTCAAATTTTGTAGATTTTCAACTAACTCAAATTGTTAGTTTCATCAATGAAAAATAATAGAAATTAAGTTACAAGATCTCTGATTTATTGAAAAAAGAAAATTACACTGAATTCAAAAAATTTTCATCAGGTTAAAAAACTCTCCATTCTTCATCTCAAAATAAAACGATTTGAAAGGTGATCTTCTCTCTTCGTAAAATTTAAGATCATGTGATTTATAAATGATTTTTTTTGTCATTTTTCATTATTAAAATTAACAACTTGATTTAATTTACAAATATACAAACTTTGAGAGGATCAATTGTTGAAACTAAAATAAGACTTCAACTTCAAGGGGGCATTTTATAATCAACCCTAAACTTAACTGAAACTATTTTTGATGAAATAAAAATTAATAGAGTTAATCTTAATTAATAGAATTGAGTAGCATAGAAATTAATGTAATTAATTGTTTTGGAAAATTTATATTTTGACCCTTTTTGTTATGTTCATGTTTTATATTAGGCGGTCAACTGCCTTTTAACTATGGTTATTATTCTCATGTTATCCCAATTGTAAATATGGTTATTAGTTGTATAAAAAAGTATGTCACTTTTTCTTTTATATTATGCAATTTTATTTTCATTTGAGACACAATGTAATAATATTTGGATAATTTTAATTTAAAGCATAGCATACACTGAATTTCAAAAAATATAAAATCAATTCAAGTTATCGAGTGGATGGTACTCAAAAGTAAAAGAGATTAAGTAAAATTGGGATTATGATGTAAGAGTAATGTTATTGAAACCTAATTCATTATGACATTTCGATTGACCGTAAATCTCATCAAACATTAGAACTTGATGTTAATTCAATAGTTATAATGAAACTATATTATTAAATTAATAAATTTTGTCAAATTTTTAAGTTCAAATAATATTAATCATGATGTAAAGATTCAAAGCGTAATTTTTCCCTTCTTGATAGAAACTAAACGAAGATAGAAAGAAGTTAGCTTGCAAGTACGGTAACAAAAAAATTTGGATGCCTCTTCTATTCATGAAAGTAAGTCATTTCAATCAAAGATTTCTTAGAGTATCTCTAAAGTTGATTATAAACTTTACTTAAATTTAAGTAAAGTATTGAGTCAAAAGTTTGATTTGATATATACTTGTTCATGGCTAAACTCAATTTCAAACTCAAATATTTTCATAATTATCCCAAAACTCATTTCTTTATTTTTTTTTCCTCTTCAAAACTCTTTGCAAAGGAAAAGTTAAAAATTTATTTGGGCTTCCCCCACTTTGGATCAAAAAATTCTTTTTCCTTGATTTTGTATAAGTTTGGAAAAGGGTTGAAAATGGTAAAACCATTTTTGTAGGTTTTTGATCCGTGGATAGGTAAGGTGTATTCAAGTGGATATATTGTATCAAACTACGATTTAAGATCTTATAATTTTTGCTTAAATTTAAAATTTGAGTCTAGATATAAGTAATGACTAGATATGGTATTAGCCGAACAAAAATAATGATGTGGACACCACATTTCTTACATTACTTGATGTGGTAAAATCAGAGTTATCGGATATTTAATAAATTTTATAGAACTTACTAATCTAATTGTGTATGTTGAGGTGGTGCACAAAGGTGGTGTAGAAAAATAGTCAGTAACGAGTCATAGTTAGACCAGTCAATCATGACAAGTGGACTGGTCAATCCTATCGGGTGAGGTGGGCGTGTCAGGTCATAATAGGTTCGTGTAAAAAAATTCATCATGCATATTCGATTAGTTTATTAATTTGTATCTGACGAATCGTGTTATATCGAATTCATGTCGCATCTGAATAATATATAACCGACATATAAATGAGTTGTATCGTTTATTTTTTGTAATTAACTTTATCCATTTATATTTGATTCGTTTATTAATCGTGTCACTTCAAATCCATTCATTTATGAAACAAATAGTTTAAAGAAGACTCAAACTTATTCTTTTTGTTTCTTACAAAGTCTATCACTACTCTGAAACCCCCTTCCAACGCAACATATGTACAATCCCAACTCCGTTCCTGTAATTTTCATCACAGCTTCTGCATGTTCTACGCACATTAATCTTTTTCTATCTAAGTCATTTTTATATAAATCAATGCAATTGAAATTAAGAACAAGTATGTCTTTGAATTGATTTGTATAAAAATGTATGTCTTTGACTTTGAATGAATCTAAATCCACTATATGTCATTTAGTCATCATTTGTGCTTGGATTCGTCAGCGAAGTGTTAGTTATTGGGTTTGGGTCATGGACCCAAATCGAGATATCCATTATGGAGATCGACTCCATTAGAGAATGCTCATGAGATATAACTATTGGAGGAGTCATTTGACATCCAAAGGATGTGTCTATAAACTACTAACATACACGTCGCTCTATATGGCACACATTGTTTATTTATATAAACCCTAAAACAGTCAATGGACAATATTTGAAAAATTAACATCAAATTCTCTTTCTCTCTCTCTCTCTTTCTCTATGCATAACATTGAAAGACTTTTATAATGTAAAAAAATTGATGTTGATTCGTTTTATACAACCACCTAGCTATTCGAACAATTAAAGAAAAAGAGAAATTTAGATTCTAAAAAAGATGAAACATCCTCTATTGATCCTACGCTTCCGCATATGGTATAAAATTCCCAGCAAGAAGTTTCTTCAAAAGTCTTCAATTCCTCGGGCCGCTTCAAAATGGTCTTATTTTCCTTGCTTTTTCTAGCGCTTGCTTGTGGGAAGGCTTATAAAAAATCTTTTTTGCTGGACTAAAGCTTCCATCAACGTAAAAGATTTGTCTGTCTTTTTTTTTTTTTCCAGTTGTGGGACTAAACGCATTTTTACCCTTACGGTTGTGTTTAATGTGCAGATCATATGATGGGTATATTTGAAATTGCAATAAAAAATCTTTCACGTCCCAGCCACTTCTCTCTAACACCATCCAACCAACACCATGGTCCAGGCAGCCATCATCCTACCTTATCCGACACCCACCCACCCACCAGCACCTCTCACTCCCCTCCCTCCAGTTTGGCTCCTGTCCAATCCTTGAAGAATTGAAGATCTCCCAATCCTCTCGACGTGGATAAATTCTCATCATGAAAAATGAATTAGATGATCCTTCAATTATTTTATAATTGGATTGGAATCAAACTCTCAAAATTGAGGAAGAATTGATAGTAGTGCAAGACTAAAAATTGATCATCTCCAATGACATTCTTGAAACAAAAGTCTTATTGTATGATACTGGAGAGCAGCTCAAGTGCAAAAATAAGATCTTGAAGGTAAGAGATATTGTATCCAACGGAGGGTAGGGAGGCAAAAACACTAGATAATTCCATTCAACTATTAAATAAAGGTAACGACTGAATTTTGGTGTTTGTTTATAAATTGTCCATTACACCCTTTATTTCTTCCTAAATAACTACCCAAAACACCCTCTTTAACTCCACCTGAGGAGATCTTTGTCCCATCCCTACACTTGAGGAGATCAAATCCACACAATTTGCATTGCCCTCTTTCAAAGAACTTGGACCAGACGGAATGTCATCCATTTTCTTTATAACCCATCGGCACAATTCATAATGAATTTAACTAACATGGTTGGAAGTTTTCTTATAGGTAGCCAGCCATCTAATCACATAGCTTAGAAGAACCAATATTTGCCTGATTCACATATCTACTCCAAAGTTTCACATAGCAAGGAACAATACTCCCATCTCCTGTTCAATGTTTGTTGAGAATCTCCTTATTTTTAGCAGGCCCAATGCAAAGGAAAAAGGAAGACCATCATGCAGTGTCAATCTAGTCAAGAGACTTCATATGCAGAACCTAAGAAGTTAGTGGCTTAAGACTTCAAAAAAAACCGATGATAGTAACAGGTCCCAAGCTAGTAGCTAAACTGGGGTGACATTTGATTTCCAGCTCAAAAAAGACTTTGAACCAGTGCTCTTAAAGGAAAGTACTGTTCATAAAACCTACTTCCTTTACTTGAGCAGACAACCTAGACTCCTATCTTGAAGTTGTGAATTTCTACGATGAGCAATGCTATTGGGACATAATTTAAGAATATAATTTGAAGACTTAATGATTGTAGTCATTAGATTGTCCATGGGTCTCAACATGAAATTATGACCGGGTTCTAACACTATTAATCCAATAGTCATAATGTATTAAGTCCCAAAATTATGTCCCTAAATGCGTATTTATAACAGCGAGAAATTTTTAAAAAAAAATCATTAATACTTTAAAAATCAAAAGACTTCATTCAGATTTGTTACGTTAGGCTTCAATATGTGTCACCCCTTGCAGGAATTTATGGGAAGCCAATACCCATACCTTCCTAAAGGAACTCTTGTTCTGCATTACTTAGAATTTCAATCTGCCACCTTGCACGGTTGATCTACTTCACCTCCAGGGGGAATAGGAGCGGATTCTTTTGCCACTCTAAGCATTCAAAATTGTGTCCATAACATCAAAGATAAATTACTCAAGTCAACTCAATTGAAGTTCAATTCAAACGGAAGGCATTTTTTGTGTAAGATCCCAAGGTAATAATTTTGAGTCCCGTTCAACTTTGTGTGTGGTATGCAAGAAAAATTACATCTATCCAAAATTTGCATTCAAGTCATCAGTACTAAGGGCGCGTGTTGGAATCTCCAAACAATTCTCCTTTATTTAAAAAAATCCAAAAAAAAAAAGTTCTCAATTGTGTTTCATACCATACATAAAGTAGATAATACATTCCAAACTAAGCTTTACCAAAAGCTTCGCCCGAACAAACCATTTAATTCATAAAAGTTAACATTAAAAAGAGAAGAAAGAAAGGGAAAGAAACATAAAACCATCATCAGGATATCCATAAAGATGAGATGCTAGATGACGCGCTTACAACTTTTACATCATCACTGTGTCCCCCTTTAATCCTGAGAACACAATGAAAGCAAGAAAACATTAGAAACAAGAACAAAGGGTAATTTTATGCTGAAGTTTGACATCCTGGCATCAAACAAGGTTCAAGCATAAAGAAGATCCAAATGACCAATGATCACCTTAGGGATTTCTACTACCACGGTGCCGTGATGGGATGATCCTTGGGTCAGGTAAGTCATCACGTTACATGGCACAGTTGAAGTTGTAAATTCCCTCATCAGTTTTCTTGGTGTCACCAACTTCAGATGCTCCAAGTTACAAAACGGAGAAGGATGACTTTTAAGAGAACCAGGATCCATTGCAAGAACCTTATAAAATGATAAAATATATATATATATATATATATATATATATATATATATCAATTAGTATTCATGGTTTATTTGAAATTTTGAACATAGCAATAATTGGTATATGTAAGTTGATTATCATCACAATCACTAAACAATAAAGAAAAATTGATAATTGTTCATTTGCTATTATAGACAGTAATGCTATGGATATAGAAATTACATACAAAACTTTCTTATCAGGATGCAGTAGCCAACTGATACTCTATAATTCTAAAACAAAGGATCATTAACATCATTATAGTTTCAAAAATCCGCTGCCACAGCATTTTTGTATGGTAATTTTTCTTAAAAACTATGTTTGTTAGTCATTTTCCTGTTATTAGACATGCTATCCATGGGTAAATCATATGTACCAGTGTTGTACGTGCACTACGAGCTATTTCTCCAAAGCTCAGAAAGACTGAATTACTGGAGATATTTTGATTAGAACTACTTGAAATATCCATAAAGGATGGGCATCAATATCTGAGGAAGCCCATTGTTATTAGCAATATTGGCTGGGTTGAGCATTATAGGTGTATGCATAGACAGGAACTAATTCTGAATATAAACCTAAGGGTATAATCTGATCTTGGGGAAGCAATTGGGAAGCTGGACAGAATAGCGATTATTCTACAGGCTATTTTCAACAGATAATTCACATAGAAGAACACAAGAGAATTGCCTCGATTGATCTCGTGCCTTGCCTAAACGAATGAAATCGCTAAAACAAGGTTTGAGTGTAGCCAAAGGAAGGAAGTGTCCCTTCATCTTATTCTTCATCTTCTCCCACTTAGTGATCTTGGCTTTGCCCTGCCTCTCTCGTGATCGCCTCAACTGTTCCCACCACGCGGATGCTCTGCCTTTGAGTTTGATAGCAACCAGTTTCACTTTGACATGATCTGGGACTTCCTTATAATCAAAAATTCGCTCCACGTCATTCAACCAATCGATGAATCCCTCAGCCCGTAACGTACCATAAAACTTGGGCAGATCCACTCTGAAACCGAAGTCTCCACGACGATCCTCCCGACCACAGTGCTCCCAGAATTGAGCACGATTGTGATACGGGTTTTCGAAACTGGATTCGGAACTGTGATCCTCCATCTCACGATCATCAAAATCCTGTGCCGTTGGACGCCGGGTTAACTCTGCAACTTGCCTCTACAAATCCTCAATCATTACATCCTGAACACTACGATCACGATGTGGGACTTCCTCGTTTGGAACCTGTCCACGACGACCACGACCACGACCACCAGCCATTGAACTAATGAAATCTCACCCAAGGGAGATGCTGAAGCTCTGATACCAACTGAAGTCGGACAAAATAGCGATTATTCTACAGGCTAGTTTCAATAGATAATTCACAGAGAAGAACACAAGAGAATTGCCCAAAGAGAACGGACTAAGCAGCCACAATATTTATAAAATTAGAATAATGATAGTTAACCCTAAAACACATGAAAACATCCTTTAAATACTAAACAATACACAGAGGAGTTCTATCAATTGATAGCCCGAAATGATTTATCTGAGACGGAAGAGCAGATGGTGGCGCGATATTTGGGGGGATTACGGCAGCCCCTGTAGGATGTCCTCAGTCTCCACTCGCTATGAACCATTTCTGAAGCATACCAACGTGCAATTGTTGTGGAAAAACAACAAAACAGGAGGTCAGTGATTAGAAGCGATCAAAGCAGTCGACCAGTTCACCCTCAAGAATCTCGTCCTACCCAACAGCAACCACAAGATAATTCTAACCCCAATATTAGATGCTTCAGATGTGGGGAACAGGGACACTGAGCGACTGAGTGCAAGAAGCCTGCCAGCTAGAAGGGAAAAAATCTCCTGATTGAGGAAGACGTGGTAGACGAAACTGAGGAGGTTGGAGAGCCTAAGTATAATGATGATGATGAAGATGGAGATGTGCTATATGGAGATAGCCATGAGATTCTGGTTGTTCGCAAGAGTCTACTGACTCCCAAGGGCAATTCAGGGGACGATTGGTTGAGAACCAATATTTTTCACACGACCTGCACAGTTGCAGATAAAGTTTGCAAGATAATTATTAATAGTGGTAGTTGTAAGAACGCAGTGTCTGAAGAGACTGTCCAAAAATTGCAGTTGAAAACAAATCGTCATCTCAAGCCATACAAATTGTCGTGGCTGAATAAAGGAAGTGAGGTAACAGTAGATAGGCGATGCTTAGTGTCTTTTTTGATCGGCAAGAAATATTTTGACAATGCTTGGTGTGATGTTGCGGCTATGGATGCTTGTCATGTACTATTAGGCAGACCTTGGCAGTACGATTGCAGTGTTATTCATGATGGGCGGAAAAATACATATTCCCTTAGCATCAAAGGGAAGAGTATTGTGTTGGCGCCTCGTCGGGAAGGAACCATTCCTACCCCGGTGGCCAATAATACTACCCTGCTTTTTACGTCCAAGTTTTTATTGGAGATTGAGCATGGAGACGTGGTCTATGCTCTGCTGCCTTATGGGAATAGTACAACAAGCGTGGACCTAGATTTACCAGCAGAGATGCAGCAGCTGCTAGCAGAGTTTTCTAACCTGATGCCAGAGGATCTTCCTCCTGGGCTACCACCAATGAGGGATATTTAGCATCATGTTGACCTTGTTCCAGGGTCGAGCTTACCTAATCGACTGGCCTATCGCCACAGTCCCAAGGTATCTCAAGAGTTGCAGAGACAGGTGGTAGAGTTGTTGGAGAGGGGCTACATCCGTGAGAGTATGAGCCCATGTGCAGTGCCTGCCCTACTGGTGCCAAAGAAAGATGGCTCTTGGCGTATGTGTGTTGACAGCAGAGCAATCAACAGGATTACAGTGAAATACAGGTTTCCAATTCCCCGCCTAGATGATATCTTAGATCAGTTATCCAGTTCTAAGGTTTTCTCAAAAATTGACATCTGACTCGGATCCTCCTGCATCAAATTGCCCCAGCTCATCCCCACCAAAAGTAAAAAATAATGTTAGACTCAACCATTAGAACAACAAAATGAAAGGTCAATGGCCTTCTAGTTAATTCAATGATCCTAAGTATTCTAAAAGCTTAAATTGTTAGAGGGTAGAACATAAGCATTTTTATATTTCAACACGACCCCTTACCAGGTTAGATTTTCGGCCAAGCAAGTGCAAGTATAATAATTACCAGGATGGCAGTGAGATTGAACACACGACCTCTTACTCTCATAACATGCTAAACCACTGCTCACTCTAAAAGCTTGGGTTGTTGGAGAACATGTAACATAAACACACATATATAAAAGGCCCCTCCATGAGATGATAGAGATTGATATGGACCACAAAGGTATTACCCTTAGAGCCTTGCTGTAATAATTAAGGGGCCAAATACGTTCTGGGACTTGCCAGTATGAGAACTACATCCCCTAGAAATCAAAAACTAATTTTTTTTGGAATTATTAGCTCCAATCTTCCCAAATACTAGTTCTATAAAACTCTTGCAAACTTGCATTTTGAGACTCTGAGAAGCAGACAAAGAATCAATAAAACACATAGCAAAGAGATTCCATGTGCACAGAAATGGCAGTGCATTGTAGAGATAAATTCCCTTGCACTATAACATACAGTAAATCCAGAGTCCAAACACTATAGGAAGAATACAAATCTGTAGATGTGGAATGTAATGCATGGAGAAGTGTAGAAAATCTTATGTGCAAATCATTTCTGAAGTAGTGTGAGGCACTGAAGTTGAATATGATCAAAGGAAAATCAAGAAGTTAGTCCATAGATCGAAATCAACACATACATCCATGCTGGGCGTTTACATCAGTTTCTAAGTTTTGAAGTACATGTACTGATGAAGTAGGCTGCCGACTCTGTTCAGTCGAGCCTCCAATCTTTCAATGTAAATAAAACATATCATAAAATGCACGCATTGATCTATTATCTCTTCTACATGTATCACTACGATCATTGAATAGGTAATAAAACAGTTGCTTGTCAGGGAAAAAACATCTTCCATCTCGGCAAACAAACTTGGAATTAGTTTTCAAATTTTAGCATTACATCCTTCTAAGCATACTGTCATAGGATTAAAATCATTGACATAGTATATGAAAACGTAAAATATGCAAGCACTACCTCAAGAGTATCCAAGGATAAAGTAACAGACTTTGCATTTCGGAGCTGTCCAAGCATCTTGATCAGATTGAGCGGCATCCTTCCCTTGACTTCATCTGTATATGGTTCCTCAAAAGATGTCCAAAGGTCAACATATATCTTGTCTAGACAAGGAAGGTCCTCGATGAAACAGTCCAAAGATACTTGACCTGTAAACTTAAATGAACTGAGTCTTGGTGTCGAAAGCACTATCTTTGATTCAGACGAGAACATAGGGCGATGCCCACGAAACAATATCTCCAAGTACCTAACTTTCGGAGCATAAATAATCGAATTTGACAGCTGACAGTTACGCAAAGTCAACCTTTCTATGTTTGGAAACCTCGAGAAAGGCTCTGCAGGGTTAGATAAACAATCGTCATCTATAAATGAAGCACGGTACAAATACAAGGTCTTCAAAGCCGGCAAAGAAAACGACTTGGGTATAATCATATTCCCATCACAATTCCTCAGTTTGAGTACTCTTATAGATTGACAGGTGAAAAAGGTGGGAGGAAATTCCAAGCTTTTCTCAACAATACATGAGATATCAAGCTCTTGAACATTGTGGCAAATCGCATAATTTACACACTTCCTAGCTAAGCTCAGACCAAAAAAATGATCGGATGCAGATAAGCGAAAAGTACAAACGGTGGAGTCCTGTCGGAGAGAGAGAAAATGGGTCACAAAATTCATGAAGCAAGGCATCTTGTAGTCGTGATAGGTGGACCAATATGATTCAATTCCGCATGAAAATGGGAAATTGGAGTAGTCAAAATCGAGATAGGGGAGAGAAGTCCAGACATATCTCCACCGTTTGGACAACAAACAGGTTTGAACGGCGAATTTGATGCTAATCAGAGAGAGGATTTGGTGAAGAATTACGTCGGGTAAATTGCTGATTCTATCTTCATTCACTTCCATTTTCTTCTCCGAAACAAGTTCTTCTGATTCCGATACCGATTCCCTCACCTGCGGACTCGATGGGATGATTTCCGGTACAAGAATCTCTCTCAACCCTCGATGGAGTCGGGGCCGGAAAGCCTGTGCTTTAGGCCCACTTTTTTAGTGAGGCCTAATTTTTGTAATAGGAAATTTGGAAGTGGGTTCTTTTTGGAGCAATTTAGAAGTCTGAACAAATTTTTTTGACTTATTTAGTCAAAAATATAATTCAAAAATTTATTTTGAGTAAAGTGCATATTTTTTTAAAATACCACTATTGTCATCGATAACCGGTAAATATACGAAAACTCATCATCTTCCATCCATATTTTTTGGCTAAAATCAAGTGAGAGGTAAAATAGGGGGTTTAATTTTCAAAACTCATATTCTTTGGCATTGGCAGAGGGATTCTTTGACTGTACATCGTCCAAAAAAAAAAAAAAAGGGGAACCCGACTAATTGTTCATCTTCTTGATTCTATGACCGCTCATCATCCCAAAAAAAAAAAGAAGAAAAGAAACCTGAGTTACTATTCATCTTCTTCTTCGGCAGTGAGATTTTGTGATTGTTCATCGTCCAAAAAAAAAAAGGGAACCCGAATTACTGTTCATCGTCCAAAAAAAGAGCAATACAAGTTACTGTTCATTGTCAAAAAAAGAGGAATCCGAGTTACTGTTTATCTTTCAAAAAAAGAAGAAAACGAGTTACTGTTCATCGTGTCTTACGATCAAGTAACTGTGAATCATCTTCGACAATTTCTTCACCGGAAAATTACAGGTGACATTCATATCTGTTTTTTTGACATTCATTACTTTTTTTTTCCACAATCTGTGTTATTTAATTTTTTAATTAAAAATAGTTACGTAACTGTTTTAAGTAATTATTTGTGATCACAAATTGCAAACTGTTAATATTCAAAAATTAATATTTGAAAACTGTATTGACCTTTCAATTTAGTTTCAAACAAGATGCGGCCACAATAACACTTAAATTAAGTCGGTATTGTAAATTAGTAAAACATGACGGTGAATGAACAGAAGTCTCATTGCCTAAAAGCATTTATTTGCGTCCCTGAGATTAGCAACACTAGTTAACAAGAAAAACATTGTCATGTAAAATGGTCAACACGGATCATTATCCTCCATTCATTTGAATTTATTATATTCGAAAAAAAATGTATAGCAGTGTATAAAAGGATAAACTTAGTATGTGGTGGTTTTAAAATGGGATGGGTTAGGTAGTTTCCCATCATGAAGTGTAATGAGGGTGGAGTTGAATTTTTGTGTGTGTGATATAATTTATAAATTTGTCAATTTTAAGTCTCTTTCATTAGTAGTGTGGCGGGTCCAAACTCGGCAATGACATTTCAATTTCTGGAGATTTGAGGTCTTATGATTGGATCATATAAAGACTAATTTGACCGGGTTTAGAACTTTTGAGGGGAAACAATGCGCTGCTACCTTCCAAATTTGGGAGTGAACCAGTTTGTTGATTTTGGTTGTTCTTTGATGAGCCACCTGACTGTATTTGTTATTTGTTGAAAACAAACATGTCCAATACTTGTTTTATTATGGAACCTAGTTAGTTGTAGTCCCCTCCACAACATCATTAAAAAAAAAAAACTTTTGAGGTGATATTTTAAGATATTGTGCTTCATTGCTCCATTTTGGGACAACCAAACCATTCAAACATACATGGTTTGAATGTTTGTAATTGTATTGAGTAACTATTTTGTGATTTTAAGTATTCCATTCTTATATCTGTTATTGGTAACTGTATTAAATATCTGTTGAGTAGCTTGTTAGTTATAACTGTGTTGAATATCTGTTAGATTAATTTGATTCATACTCAATACTTGTGACCCTAAAAATAGTTACTATGTGCAATTGTGTTATAATGCACATAAAAATTTAGGTGAATCTTATTCTAACGAATTAAACAATTACCAATGTGTGGACTAATGGTTAGAGTAATATAAATGCACCATATATAATTGTAGTTTGTAAACCCCTAACCTAGTTGATGAATTAAACAGGTCATGGCGAAAAAACAATCTTAAAAAAAAAGTCCTGCTATAAGGTGTAGCAAAGAAATTCCACATCATAAGTCACAAGCAACAAAGACAAATGTGGATATAAATGACAATCAAAGTGTATTATACATCACAGGTGCAAGGTACAAGCCTCAGCATAGACCAAATATGTTTGCCATTATCAAGGCAATTGAAAAACTTCAGTTAAATGAGTATCACAAGACAGCGTTGCAAAAGACTCCATTTTGGTTGCTTTTTGAATGTATAATTGACCAAAATATGGACAAAACATGGTGCCGTAAAAGTGACAGTTACATTCTTGAAATACTATTATGTTTCAATTCTGATACTTCAAGATTCAATATCGGAAGCAAAAAACTGAGGTTGCAGCCTAATGATATGACTCTAATATTTGGGGTACAAGATGGGTGTGAAAAGATTGATTATACAATACATGGAAAATCATTTACACCATTTACTGAACGCTAATTCAAAAACAGATCGGAGGTTGACAACAACATTGATAAGAAGCAAGCTGAAACAACGTCCGAATTGGACAGTAAGATTGGTTATGATGACTTGGCTAGATTATTATGTATGTATCTTTTGGCAACACTTTTTTTCCTAGTAACGGGAAACACAATGAGTTGGGGATTTGTACCATATATTGAAAAGTTGGATGAATGTAGAAAATACAATTGGTCTGTAGCTATAACTGATACACTGCTTTCATCCTTGAAGAAGAAAAAGGCAATGCCAAAGGCTATCAATGGATGCGTACTCCTAATACCGCTTAGTGCTTTAATAAAAGTAATATGTTAATTTGAGAATTGAAATTTCTTTGCTATAACCCAATATGATCTGATTATCGCAATCTTGTATGTTGCAGTACTGGTTATGTGAACACACCTCCATGATGACTCCCAGCATTGAAAGGACATTTCCTCGGTTTCTGAAATGGAACTTACCAAGTTTGAATAGGGCAATCAAGCAAAAATGTTTGGCAAACATCATGGCAAATGATGTAAGTCTCAATTCATATATAGTTATCCCTATAACTTGTAACTATTTTTAAAAAGGTTACTAATTAACTGTTTGTTAATTAAATTTATTTTACACTTAGATTATGGAGCAAAAATTGAAGAGAACTAAGGAAGAAAGGATGTTTATCTCATCAAAGAAGAATGCAAAAAAAAGGCCAAAAAAACAATGGAGAATGAGTTAGATGACAATGAACAACTTGACATTGGAGAAAATGGTGATGGCAAGCCATCAAGTGGTGATAATGAATGGTCAAATGAAATGAGAAAATTGGTTGACTTAGTTGAAGTGAATTTTACCCAACCAACAGAAAGGCAATCAAAGGAACAAGATGTTTAGAATGACAATGAAAAGGAGAACATTATAAGAAAGAGAGAGAGAGATGAAGCTCAAAGGATTGTTTCTGAGTTGATGATAAAGGATAAATTCAACCAAGAAAAGATTGCCGAGTTGTCCAATGAGAATGAAGTGTTGAAAAAACGAGTGCAAGACACTGTTGACATGGTGCATCACAAGGAATATATAAAATTAACTGTTAAAATAGCATATCTTTGTTTAATATTCATACATTTTCTTGTTGTAGCTCTATGGGAATTTGTTGCAGAATTTTGTGATTCTTGTTGTGTGTAACTATATTATACCTGATTGTTATAACTGTTTATGTATAGTTAGTTATCTATTAAGTTCATCTATTTGGTACTTATGCTTGTGTAACTATTTCAACAATGTTTTTTTGTGTAACTGTTTTTGGTTTAACATGGTAAACTGTATGGTTCAACAATTTTGGTACCTGTTGAATGTAAGTTTTTTTTTTTTTTTCAGATAGTTAGCTATGTGGTGAAATCTTATTGGTGCGTATTTTGATTAACTATTTGTTATTCTTGATGGTTTGTTTTGTGGTAACTATTGACAATCTAATATGCTGTAACACTATGGTGTAACTGTTTTGTATGGAACTTTGTCATGTAACTGTTTTTGGTAATTGTTTACAGTATTGGTTAACTGAGATTTTCATGATGATTTCATGCAGCAAGCTGAAGTGCAACAAGACATTCCATCCGATAGAGACACAAAAATCGTGCAACTTGAGACATTAGTTCATACAATGCGTAGTGAAAAAACCGCAATTGAGGCCGAAAATGTGAAATTAAAAGAGAATGTCAAAATATTAGAAGCTGAAAATGCCTAATTAATAAATCAAATAAACAAGTTGACAGTGCACAACATCACTCAGATGATGCAAACCACCAAGCCTACTGACAGTGCAGATATTGGTCAAACGTCAATGGTCCAAAAGCTGAAGACTAAGGAAAGAAAGAGAAAAAGATATGAGGATTACGAGTATAACAATAAGAAAAGGGACAAGGGACACATTGAGGCTTCACATTCAATTATCACCCTTGCAGATGAAGCAGAAAAGATCAATGCAGCGAAAGAAAAAGAGAGACACGATAAGGAAATTGCAAGGTTGTGGAAGATTTGTCAGAAATCAAATCTGTCTATCTATGATCAATTAAAACAAATCAATGATACAGAAGAACCTACGTAAGTATATTATATATTCTAACATTTATGTTTTACACTATAGTTATTTCGTTAAAATCCGTGGATTTACTCACTGTACTTTTATACAAAATATGAACTTACCTTATATGACTGTGATATGATCATGTAGGACACCCATTTGGTCTGGTGTTTTAATTGGAAGCTACATAAATGTTGAAGACGCATTGAAACTGATGGGAGGATGTGCACTATACAATAGTGTAAGTATTACACTTAATAGTATATTTGTCCATATCATAGTATTGTACAACTTACAATGTTTTCCTATAATTTGTTTGATAGCTGCAAGTATATTTTGCATCTTGTATCGAATTTAAAAAAATAAATATCTAATTTGTTTGTC